CAAATGGGCCCTGCAGGAGGATGGTGCTGCCCAGGGCTTCGGCACGTTCCAGAATGTTTTGTGTGCCACGTACCAAAATCATCAGGCAAATGAAGAAACACCATCTTACTGAAAAAGAAAATGTGAACAACAGAAATAAACCCAGATAGAGCAAATAAGGAGTTCTTGGACGCGGACCTCATGTCTGAGTGACACATTCTCAGAATTAAAGACAAATTAAAAAGCTTTGGGACACCTGGGTGGCTCCGTCTGTTCAGCGTCCGACTTCGGCTCCGGTCATGAGCCCCGCGTCCGGCTCTGTGCCGACAGCTCGGAACCTGGAGCCTGCTCCAGATTCTGTGTCTCCCTCTCTCTGCCCCTCCCCCAGTCTCACTCCCTCTCTCAAAAATAAATAACATTACAAAACAATTTTTTTCAACATTAAAAAAAAATGGGGGGCGCCTGGGCGGCTCCGTCGGTTGAGCGTCCGACTTCCGCTCAGGTCGTGACCTCACGGTTCGTGGGTTCCAGCCCCGTGTTGGGCTCTGTGCTGACGGGGCAGAGCCTATTTGGAATTCTCTCTCTCCCTCTCTGCGCCTCCCCTGCTCACGCTTTCTCCCTCTCTCCCAAAATAAATAAACTTAATAAAAACAATTGGGGCAGAGAACTGGAAACGACAATAATAAAGAACTAAATGGAAATGTGAGAAGGTAAAGATTCAAAACCTGAAGTTGAGAGTTCAGTGAGCAAGCTCGATGAGGTATCAGACGCGGCTGAAAACAGAACAAAACTGGAAGCAAGACACACGGAGACACCGGGTTAGAGGCGCAGGGGCCAGAGGACAGGCCTGGCACGCGCGCAACTCGAGTCGCAAGCTGAAGGGACAGGGAGGAGGTAGCGACATTCAGAGAAAACTTTTTTTTTTTTTTTTCAACGTTTATTTTTGGGACAGAGAGAGACAGAGCATGAACGGGCGAGGGGCAGAGAGAGAGGGAGACACAGAATCGGAAACAGGCTCCAGGCTCTGAGCCATCAGCCCAGAGCCCGACGCGGGGCTCGAACTCACGGACCGCGAGATCGTGACCTGGCTGAAGTCGGACGCTTAACCGACTGCGCCACCCAGGCGCCCCAGAGAAAACTTTTCAAAACTAACAAAAGACGTGGAAAACAAGCAGGGGCTCACACCCACAGCATGCCACGGTAAAACCGCTAAAAACTAAAGACGGCGAGAAAAGTCTTCAAATTAAAGGAAAAAAGGTCAATTACCTTCAAAGGGATACAGAAAAAATTAAGGCAAAACAAACACACCTTTGGACACACAAAAGGGCCTCAGCAGCCGCAGAGCAGCCCAGCAGGGGTGCGGGTGCGGGCAGGGGCAGGGTCCATGGAGAGAACGCAGGTGCGGGGGAGATGCTCCCCAGACAGCGCTGCCATCGCAAACACAGCTCAGTTAGGACACGCACAACACCGGGGCGTGTGCCCAGAGGAGGGCAGGGGTAGTTCAAAGTGCCGAGGTCCGCGCCATGTCAGGACGGGAGACAGTCCCACCGGACTTGAAGACTCCAGGACAGGTGACCGCGGCAGGATTAGTATACAAACACTGGCAGGCACGCCTGGGGTGGCGCCCAGCAGTTTGGGGCCCGTGTCGGCCCCCTCCTGGAACGGGGGTGCCGTCCGTGTGGCGCAGGCGGTGGGCACTGCGCCCTGTGGCTACCCCACGCTCTACAGGGCTCCCCCTTGGCAGACGGGGATCGCTGTTGTGGGCCCCGCGAGAAGGCCACGGGGAGGCACGCGCACACGCCCGGGCCGCAGGAGTGCAACACGGCACACGCGAGCTGTCTTCCATTACTGAGTTTGTGGCCGTTTGTCAAGGCAGCAACAGAAAACACAAAGTTATGCCCAACTGCGAGTGGTAAGTAAAGTCTAAGGCAACAGGCGTCTCTGGAGCTAAAGAACATTCCAGAAGGGGAGGGAGCAGTCTGCCAGGCAGTATGGCTCTTACAAAGACGTCCACCTCTGCTGACAAGGCCTCAAAATGCACCGAGCAAAACTATGAAGAGCAGCCGATGAATCTAAAATGGCACTAGGGGGGCGCCCGGGGGCTCAGTCGGTGAAGCGTCCGACTTCGGCTCAGGTCATGATCTCGCGGTTCACGGGTTCGAGCCCCGCGTCGGGCTCTGTGCTGACGGCTCAGTCTGGAACCTCCTTCGGATTCTGTGTCTCCCTCTCTCTGCTCCTCCCCCGCTCACTCTCTGTCTCTCAAAACTGAATAAACGTTAATAAATAAAACCATAACGTGTGTAACGACACAGGAAACGTCTATTTTACGGCTAACACTCTGCCTGGCCGACATGTTGAAAATGCAGGACCCAGTCACCACCGAACCCCGTCACCGCGGGACTCTGTCACCACTGAACCCTGTTGACAGGGAGCCCGGGGCAGGCCGGGGCCCAGCACAAGCTAGCACCTCCCCCCCCCCCCCCCCCCCCATCGTGGGTTATGTGGGAGATTCCTCAGGCCCTCCCGGCTGCCCAAGGACAAAGGAGAGGAAAGGAAACCAAGGCTTAACCGATAGAGATCACAGTCCTGCAGGGCCTGAGTCTCCGAGTAAATTCCAGGTAAAAGGCAGTCTTCTCAACGGCCTCATCTCCAGAAACTCCCTCCTGCCTCAGGGCTAATGCTTTGCTAGAGGGAAAAACCACCTCAGCTCGACACTAGCTGGGCCTCCAGGAATCTCGAATCCTCTTTAGGATGTGGAAATCCCTTCAAGAAACTTCCTCTTGAGGTCATCCCCGCCCCCCACCCCCCCCCGGGCGGGCGGGGGGACCGCACAGTATACCGAGCAGTCACTGCACGACCCCAGGGCAGCTCTCCCTGCCCTCGGGTCCTGGCCCCAGGCTTTACTAAAATCACCTTCTTGCACCAAAGACGACTTCCAGGATTCCTTCTTGGCGGTGGGCTCCGGACCCCCCCACCGTCACCCCCAAACCTCATCACCTGTCACCACGGTTAAGGTTAAGATCAAATAAGGAAAAATCAAGTAGGGATACCCATATATTTAGAAATTCTGAAGTACGTTTTACAATAAGCCGCGTGTCAGAGGACAAAACACGAGGAAAACGATAAAGTACGTGGAAGCAAATGTTCACGGCGCGCGTGGGTCCCGCCGCGCGGTCAGAGGGTGCAGAGCGCTATCCGAGGGCGATGCCTCCTCCGTGGGTCGGGCCGCGCGGCGGAGCCCGAGCGGGGAGTAAGCTTTTGCCATTTGAAACCAAGAAACTTGTTCCTGAAGACCCGGCCCATCCTGACCGATTCAGAAGCAGGCGGCAGACGTTCAGACTGAACCGTGTGGCCCGGGCTTCGGGCCGAGGCGGGGGGCGCGCAGAGGACGCCCTCTGGGACGCACGAGGCACCGCGTGAACTTGTGGCGCCAGGGGGCCAGGCGGGAGCACACGTTGGCAGCGCGCCCCTGGCTGGTTTTGACAAAGACGAGCTCAGAGTACGAGGGGCTGTTTTGCAAGTAGAAGGGGAAAGCGGGCAAGTCCACGCTTCGAGGACCAACCACCTGGACGGAAACGGTAACTCTTTCAAATCCCAAATAGCGCGGGGTAAAATTGAGGGGACGTTTGAGGGACACGCGCAGTGAGAACTCAGCCCCGCGTCGAGGACAGAGCCACGGGCAGGGCCGGGTCTGGGGAGTCCTCTCCTGTGACTGGGCACGACCCTCCCATCGGCCCCGGTAAACTCCAGGCAGCCACGATTAACGACAGGGATGAAAGACAGCGAGGGGAGGCGAGACAGGGAGACGGACCCCGCCGGCCAGGGCTCCCGGCGCGCGAAGTCGTCCGGAGCCGCACAGGGGGCCGGGGCGGGGGGCAAACAACTGGACATCACGCGTGTCCACGCTGCCTCGTTCCGAACGGCGGGGCGCGTGGGTGATTTGTTGCTTTTTCCTTTGATTTTCTGGCACGGCTTCAAATTTGTATGAGTGCGTGGGCTTGGGGGTGCTATCTCATAGTCGTGCACCTGTCCTGCACGGCTGGGACCATCGGCTGTGGACGTCCCTCCGGCCGGCGCCCCCCGACGGCCGGTGCTTCTCTCTCTATCCTCCCATCGCCAGAAGTTCCGATCGGAAGAACACGGACGCTTCAAGAATTACGGGGTCCTCGAGAGAGAGCGGCGCGCCATGAACACCCCTAAGTCCCCAGATGGAGACCTCAGGGGCTGTCCGAGACCTTGTTAAAACGACCTCTTGGGGGCGCCTGGGTGGCGCAGTCGGTTGAGCGTCCGACTTCAGCCAGGTCACGATCTTGCAGTCCTTGAGTTCGAGCCCCGCGTCAGGCTCTGGGCTGACAGCTCGGAGCCTGGAGCCTGTTTCCGATTCTGTGTCTCCCTCTCTCTCTGCCCCTCCCCCGTTCATGCTCTGTCTCTCTCTGTCCCAAAAATAAATAAACGTTGAAAAAAAAAAATTAAAAAAAAAAAACAAAACGACCTCTTGTATCTCACAGACGCAGGACAGGCAGATAAGCACCAACTGCAGGCTCGGTCGTGTGCGTCAGAAAACCACCACCACCGTCCCCACCTGCTTCACGGGGTTTTGGCTTTGGTTCTTTGTATTTGTTAGTCGGATACAAAATACTTAGGGCAGGGTCTCTCCCGCGGTGAGCATGCGATAAGTGTGACGATCAGTGTCCTCATCGTCACTGTTATTGTACGAAAAGCCAAGTGGGAGAGCCGTGAACTTCCTACCAGAAGAGCCAATCAAAGAAAAGGTAGCAAAATTAAGAGGATGTACAGATTCACGGCACAGTGGAGGAACTAAGTTCTTCAGTTTTCGTACCGCAGCAGACGGACAGTTTGTGGACAGTGACTAAGTGATGGTGAGCTTAATCAGAAGCTCACTTCAATCGCACCTGCTGCTCCAGACGCGCCTTCCCATCAATGGAACCAATCGAGGCGGCACTTAGCACCTGTCATGGCTGCCACTATTAACCCGGTCAATGTCGGTCCTAGCCCGGGAAACATCGGCCACAAGTGGCTACTTCAGTGCAGTGACAAAAACCCAGTTGTCCGGGGGCACCTGGTGGGCTCAGTCAGTGGAGCGTGTGGCTCTTGATCCCGGGGTCATGAGTTCGAGCCCCACCCTGGATGTAAAGATTACTTAAATAAACTTTAAAAAGAAAACATTCGGGGCGCCTGGGTGGCTCAGTCAGTCAGGCGTCCGACTTCGGCTCAGGTCACCATCTCGTGGTTTGTAGGTTCGAGCCCCCGCGTCGGGCCCTGTGCTGACAGCTCAGAGCCTGGAGCCTCCTTTGGATTCTGTGTCTCCCTCTCTCTCTCTGCCCCTCCCCTGCTCACACTCTATCTCTCTCTCTCAAAATTAATAAACATTAAAACAATTTTAAACAATGAGAAATGAAAAAAATAAAAAAAGTTCTTCTGGGTTGTCACTCCTGTTACTTTTAGCACACAACTGTTCAAAGCGACAGACATATTTCAAAATTTGGAGGTATGATCACAGAACATAAATACACAAGCGGTGCGAGCAAACAGAAGGCTAGTGAAATAGAATTTGCATGAGACTAGCCAATGAGCCCAGCATCTCTCCCGCGCCCCTGCCGCAGGCCTTGGAAAAGGAGCCTGATGAAGTAACCAGAGACGCAGGCAGGGACGCCCCTGCAGGGGCCCATCATCCCGGGTCCCCCCACCCCACCCCTGCCTCCGTGCGGGTGCAGCGAAGGCGTTCCAGGCTCTGACTTCTGGGGAGGTGACAACTGAAGCGAGTCTTGCACGCGTCCTGAGTGTGGGGTCTGGGACGGCCACCCTTCCGAAATCTAGGCGGCCCTCGGCAGCCCGCGGGTGCCCCGAGGCCGGGCCTCCGCTGCCCACTCAGAGGCGGAAGCCCAGCTCTTGGGGGCCCGCCGCTGGGCTCCTGGCCTGCACAGCCACCCAGGTACCGGCCTCCCACAAGCTCCTGAGCTCGGGCCGTCCCCTCGACAGCCCCTTGCCCGCCCAGGGAAGATGGCCACTTCTGAGGCTTATTTCTGTGAGCTTCCGTGGTCCCTTCCTGATTTTTTAGACTCCCAACAGCTGTTCAACCAACTGTCCTATTAAAGTCTGTCTTTTGATTTTAGCAGGTTTCTGTTTCCTGGAGGGCATTCTGACGGGGAGAGTAGCTGGTACCAGAACAGACCCTAAAAGATACAATCACACAAGCAGTTTGGTCCTGCTCTCATCTTCGACCATGGTACCGAGCTCCTGGCCAGCAGGGAGGGAGATGCCCGTGACCCGTGGCAAGAAGCGGCGAACCAGACCGGCACCTGTGCTCGAACCGGAGGCCTGGATGCCTTCGGGGGGGGACCCTGCAGCCCATCGCAGTCAACCCGCCTCCAAGCTCCCCAACGGCCCCGTTTGCGAGGGGGACTCGGCCCCGGAGGAAGGGCGGGGGCCAGAATTCGGACCAAGCACCGGGGCCCCAAAACACCACCGTGGTCCTCTAGTGACAGCGGGGGCTTCTCGTGGACAGGAGATGGTGGAACTGGGGCGCAAGAGGGGGGCCGAAGGCAAGAGGAGGGAGAAGGGGCTTGCCCTCCCCCGTCTGCTGCGCATTCTCACACCGCCCCGGCCACGCAGCGGCTTCCGTGTCAGAGGAGGCCGGTCTTCTGAACCAGGCGGCGGCCTCCGCTGAAGCAGCCGCCCTGAGAGGCGAGGCCCCCGTGACCTCTCACCGCACCCGGCCCATAATCAGAGCCAGGGGTCCGAGCAGACGGGCGGGGAAGTGCAAGCCGGCTCCAGGAAGAAATAGCCGGCTTTCAAAAAACTCTTTTTTGCAGCAGACGGTCGATGTGAGTCCACAAAGCCTCCGCCTGACTGGGATCCTTGGGCACCCCCTGCGCTAAAACAGTAAGAAGGACACTTGTGGGGACGCCTGGGCGGCTCGGTCAGTTAAGCCTGCCTGGGACTCTCTCGCTCTCGGCCCCTCCCCCACTGGTGCTCTGTCTCTCTCTCTCTAAATAAATACACTCGAAAAGAAAAAAGAGAGAAGAGGGGTGTCTGGGTGGCTCAGCTGAGCTCCCGACTCTTGACTTCGGCTCGGGTGGTGATCTTGCGGTTCATGGGTTTGGGCCCCGCGGTGGGTGCTGGCGGCTTGGAGCCTGCCTGGGATTCTCTCTCTCTCTCTCTCTCTCTCTCTCTCTCTCTCTCTCTCCCTCCCTCCCTCCCTCCCTCCCCCGCTCTCTCACTCAAAAAATAAACAAGCTCATTTTAAAAATTACTTTAAAAAGACAAAAGGAAGAAAGACACTTGTGAGTGACTGCGGAGCTCAGTGGCGACTCCGAGGGGAATGACCAGTTTCTGGAAGAGAAGAGGTTAAGTGGCTGCAGCATGCCGTCGTGACAGGCAGAAGGCAGAGTGGTGGTCAGGGCGCTCTGACGTGCGACGGGACACGTGGGCAGTGTGCGGGGCACCGTTCGATCTGTAAAGTCAGAATAACCCCAGGCTCTGCCGAGCAGATATCTGACATCAGCCATCACGGTCGCCCACGGTCCCAGACCAGCGCCAAAGTCAAAGGCGGAGCCGCTCTCGGAGGAGGACCCAGCCACAAGCTCTGTCCCGACACCGAATACTCTCGCAGTCCTTCCTCAGAGGGGTCCGTGACCCTGTAGCTGAATGAAGCGCACACTGGGCAAAGGGGGGTGGGGTGTAGACCTTCAGAGGACCCCCGGGGGGTGGTATCTAAACCGCCACCGCCACCCGCAGCTTTGCAGCAGCGTCAGGGTCCTCTGCTCGCAGAAGGGGCGTCCGCGAGGAAGGCACCGTGGCTTGAGTCGTCTCCCCCGGGTCCGGCAGGTCTACGGATCCGACCTGTACGTTGGGATGGATCTGCTCAGCCGCTGGAGGGAGGCTCACCTCGGCGCCTTGACCAGCGGGGCCGTTACGGCAGGAAGAGCCAAGCGGGGCCCCAGGAAACTTCCTCCCGACCAAGACGGTGGACAAGATAGAAACAGTGCTTTCCCGGAGGACTCGTAGAGATCAGCAGCGACACCAAGGCCTGGAGGGACCCACGTAAATAGTCAACTGATCTTTACCAAGAAGCAAAGGCCGCCTTTCCAACGAACGGGCAGGGACAGCTGGTCACCCACATGCAAAGGGGGAGAGAACGTAGGCTCACAGCTGCACACACTTTACAGAAATTCACTCACAGTGGATCACAGACCGGGGGCGACCGACCGGCTCAGCCGGTGAGGTGTGCGATTCCTGATCTCGGGGTTGTGGGTTCAAGCCCCACACTGGGTGGAGAGATTACTTAAAAAACTAAAATCTTTAAAAAAAAAAAAAAAAATGGATCACAGCCCCGAACGTAAAATGCAAAACTATAAAGCTCTTAGAGGATGACACGGGACAAAACCTGGATGGCCGTGGGTACGCTGACCATCTTTGGATGCAACTTCAAAGGCACCGTCCAGAAAGGAAATCGTTGATACGCTGGACCTCATTCACTTAAAAAATTCCTGCTCTGTGAAAGACAGTGTCAGAGAGTGAGAAGACGAGCCACAGACGGGAGAAAATATTTGCAAAAGACGCATCTGGTAAAAGCATGTCACACGGGGCGCCCACTCGTGATTTCGGCGCAGGTCAGGATCTCGCGGTTCTTGAGTTTGAGTCCCTCATCAGGTTTGGCACCGACGGTAAGGAGCCCGCTTGGGACGCTCTCTCGCTCTCCCTTTTTTGCTCTCTCCCTCTTCAAATACATAAATAAACTTAAAAAAAAGAAAAAAAGCCCACGTTATCCAGAGTATACAAAGAACTCTTGAAACTCAGCAGGAAGGAAACAAACAATTAAAAAACAGGCCAGAGGCCTTAACAGACGAGTCCCCCAAAGAAGATAAACAGATGGCAAACAATCACATAAAAGATGCTCCACATCACATGTTATCTGGGAAATGCAAATTAAGACAACGAGATCCGCCCGCACACCTGCTAGACCGGCCAAAATCCAGAGCACCGACGACACCCGATGCTGGTGAGGACGCGGAGCCACAGGAACGTTCGCTCGTGGCTGGTGGGAAAACGGAATGGGGCAGCCACTTTGGAAGACAGTCTGGAGAGTTCTTATAAAATTAAACACGCTCTGGCCACGTGATCCTGGAGTCACGCTCCTTGCTGTTTACCTAAAGGAGATGAGAACTTGTGTCCACACGAGAACCTGCACACGGGTGTTCACAGCGGCTTCATTCAGAGCCCCCAAACCCTGGAACAGCCGAGGTGTCCGTCAGCAGGTGAACGGACAACCTGTGGTCCACCCAGACAACGGGATGTGGGTCGGCACTAAGTAGGAACGGGCTGTCGAGCCGTGAAAAGACCTGGAGGGACCCTAAACGTATATTACGAGGTAAAAGAAGCCAGTCCGAAAAGGCTACGCACGGTACGATTCCAAGTCTGTGACATTCTGGAAAAGGCAAAACCGTGGAGACGGTAAAAGACGAGTGGGGGCCGAAGGTATATGTGAAGTGTGTGTACTTTCCCCTCCGTGCTGCTGGGAACCTGAAAGGGCTCTAAAAAACAAAGCCTTAATTTAGACAAGAAGGCAGGAAGGCTCGAGGAGAGCAGGAGTGGGGTCCCCAGAATGTCTCCATTGAATTCGCCAACCCGGCCTTTGCAGAAAGTGCGTAATGGCGGAAGATAACGGAGCACGAGCATGGTGACCTCGAATGGGTGGCAGGGCCGGTCGCGTCTGCCGTCCGGAAGCGGCGCCTTCGCGGGAGCCCATCCGCCTCTGGCAGATCGCAGGTGGCGACTGATTTGGCGCATGCTTTCCCCTCGACAGCCATCAGCGGGAGGGCCTGGCCAGGGCGGCAGTCTCCCCTCACCATCTCTTCTCAAGACCCCGGCTACGCTCTGCCTTCCACTCCGCTACGGCTCACAGGGACCGTGGCAGAGCGAACGATGCCCCTGCCAAAGATGCCCACGTGCTGGTCCCTGGAGCCTGCGAGTGTGCTGTGTTACGTGCAGGAAGGAATTAAGATTGAAGATGGAATTAAGGCACTAATCAGCTGACCTTAACATGGGATGATCACCCTGGGTTATGCGGGTAGACACAATGCAATCACAAGGCTTCTTACAAGTCGAAGAGACGGGGGGCGCCTGGGCGGCTCAGTCCGGTGAGCGTCTGACTCTTGATTTTGACCCAGGTCATGATCTCACGGTTCCTGAGTTCCAGCCCCACGTCGGGCTCTGTGATGACAGTGCGGAGCCTGCTGGGGACTTTCTCTCTGCCCCACCCCTGCTCATGTGCTCTCTCTCAAAATACACAAGCTTAAAAAAAAAAAAAAAAGTGGAAGAAAGACAGAAGAGCCCATAGGGAGCTGTGACTCGAAAGAAGGTCCAACAGATGCCACACTGCTGACCCGGAAGGTGAGGAAGGGCCAGGAGCCGGGAACGCGGGCACCTCCAGGAGGGAGGACACAGATTTCCCTCTGGAGCCCCAGGAAGGATCTCGGTCTTGCCATGGCCTTGCTGTCACCCGCCGAGGCCCGTGTCGGACTTCCAAGCTACAGTGCTGGCTGTCACAGCAACTGCAGACAGTGGACACGGGAACCCAGATGCTCCCGGCACCTCCCCGGTCCAGGGAGCTCCAGACAGCGGAGGCAAAAGCACGCCGGTGAAGTCTTGAGGGTTCGTGAGTCCGGGGCGCGTTGGGACATCTCAAGGTAAAGGAGAAGTGGCCCGTGAGGACTTGAGAGCAGCACAAGCCATACCTGGGAGTACGGCCCACCCCGCTCACTGAGAGACCCAGAAAAGGCTACCGGCTCCAGCAGGGCCCGGAGGCCGCGGCGGAGGCAGGAGGCGAGGCCGGCCCTGCCGGAGGGTCTGTGGGGAGAAGGATGCCCCAGCAAGGCCGGGGGACGGCCGCAGGCTCTAGAGTAAGGCTCTCCCTCCCGGGACAGAACGCCACTCGTGGTTTGGCCCCCGGGGAGGCGGGGGTCCGGCTGGGGCACCGGAGGTCGTGCACACTGGGCGGTCAATCGCCGCCTGGGGTCCTCGCCCGTGGACCCCGGCACGGGGCACACGCAGCGGCAATCCACTGCGTGACGACAACGAGCCACCGAGGAGGCACAGTACATTCCGTGACCCGCACAGTCCTGCCGTCCTGTCCTCTCTCCAGCAGGATCACAGCCTCGCCACCTGGGAGGACAGGAGGCGGAGCAAAGTCTCGCCTTGATGCACAGGAGGCTCAGCCATGTGATCGCCGCCTATTACGCGCCTCTGTCAGGGGGACCCTAGAAGACGGCGGTGGAGGGGCTCCCCCAGGGGCACCTGGTCACCCCTCCCTATGGGTGGGAAGAGTGGCCGGGAGTGTGCAGAAAATGGGACCCCAGGACACTGGTGAAAGGCTTGGCTGGCTCCTCAGGAACACACACTGAGCAGGACTGGGATGACAGAGACACGCAGGTCTGGGAAGGCACGAGGATGGGCACGCGGCAGGAGCAGGCTGGGGGTACCACACAAGGGTGGCTGGCTCTGCAGCTCACCGTGACACGCCCAGACACAGCCCGCTGCGGAGGAGACGACAAACACCCAGGTGGACAGCACAAGGGACCCGTGGGTATCGGCCGGCCTCTCTGCTCGGCCGCCCAGTGCTCATGTGCAGGCCTGCGCTGAGCGGAGTGGCCGCAGTGGCGGGGACGCCGGTGACACTCGGACCCAACAGCATGAGCCCCTCTCATCGAGGCTGACCCAGATCAGATGCTGTCCCGCCCGATGGCCTTCTCCATAGCAGCTCACGTCCGGGACTTGGGGGGTGGCAAGGAGCCTGGGGAGGACTCCCTCCAAAGGGACTTCTTGGAATAAACCCAGAGCGTGAGAACACTCCTGTGTTCCCCCCTGTGGCTGGCCCCCTCCCCCCCCCCCGCCCCCGCCGCTGCAGAGGTGGCTCTGGCTTAGCAAACGGACGCGGAGACTGTCCCAGGGCTCAGGAGCCACATGCCCCCGGCAGCAGGGCAGGGCCACGCACACCCTCCCCTCTGGGTGCCCAGGCCCGAACACATTTCCGTGCAAAGGGGACACCATTTGTTCTGGCTGATGTGGGTTCCCACGGGGAGGCTCCTGCTGGGCCGCCTGCTCTGCTCACGGTGCCATGTGCGCAGACCTGCTAACCCCCAGTGCCAGTCCCAACCCCCGGCTCACAGCAGAAAGACACAGTGCAGGGGCCCGTCGGGTCTCATCCCACGCCCCAGAACAGCTGGCCTCAGACACGAGTGGCAAGGCCTGCTGGAGGCTCAGGACTCCCACCCTGTCAGACTGGGTGCTGTTCTGGAGAATTCGGTGGGAGCCCGCTGCCCGCTCCGGAAACCGAAACAGAAGGCAGGGAATGACGTCTGTTCCTCCTTCCCCTGACACTGAGAGTGTGACCTAAGTGTGGACAGCTTCTCCCCAGGAGCCTTGGAAAAGTCACACCAGGCCACGGGCTCAGCAGAGACAGTTCTCCGTGGAGCTCCAGAGTCCAGTCCAGCCAGCACTGGCTTCCAGTGACAGAAGGGACATCCTACGCAGCCTTCGTCCAGGGTCTGACCTTGCCTGTGTCCTGTACTCCCGATCACGTCTGCCTCTTTCCCAGCCCAAATCCCCAGCTAATGAATATCCTTCCAGTACATTCCATTTCTACTTAAACTGCATAGAATATGTTCCTTCTGTACGTAATCCAGAACCATGACGAATACGTCGGGCATATATAGCTTTTATAAAACCATTAGCTTTCACAAACCTTCTGTGGTCCGCCCCTGTCCTCAGGACAAGGTCAGGCTCCTTGTCCCGGCCCTTGGTGTGTGGGTGTGGTGCTGGGAGTTCATCCTGGAGCCAGGCCAGCACCACCCGCACAAGACCGGGTCTGTGTGGGGTGTGAGCCCGCTCGCCCTCCGGGGACTAGAGGAGGCAAAAAGACCAGGGCCAGGGGAGGGAAAGAAACCGAGAACACGAAGAGCTCTCCGTGGGCACGAGGGCTCTGGCTCAGGTCACCAGGGAGCAGTCTTGGGAGACTGGACAGCAGAGAGGAAGGGTCTACCCTTGGATGCGCTGGCGAGTCGGAGGACACCCAGGAGAGGGCTGGGGGGCCGAGCCGAATAGGGGATCGCGCACAGGAGGACGGTTTGGTAAAGACATAGCCCTGGAAGTCAGTGCCCATAGACGGCAGCGGAGGCTGTGCGAGGGAAGACGGCCTGGGACGGGGCCCCAGGCGCAGGCGCCCAAGAGTGAGCAGGAGAGGCCCGGTGGGACACTAAGGCGGTGCCTCCCTCCAGGCCCCGGGACACCCGCCGGCCGCTGGAGCTGAGGAAGGACGGACACGACCACAGGGAGTTAAAGGCAGGAGGGAGAGGGACTCCCGAGAGGCCGCGCCCCTGGGAGGCGGGCACGGAGCCAACCCCGCCCAGCCCTCACCTCCCGGGGAAAGCAGGAGGCCGGAGGCATCAGAGGGAGGGACGGCCCGGGTTCGCGCGCCGCCCGCTCCCGGGAGGGCCGCGCGGCTGCACGAGCCCCCGCGCGCATGCACGCTCACACTCGCACACACGCGCGCACTCCCGTGCATGCTGGCCACGCGCGTCCCGGCCCAGGGCAGCCCCTTCCCCGCCAGCCCACCCCCCCCAGTCCTCCCCCTCCCCGCCGGCCCCCAGGCTCTCACCTGCGGGGGCCTCGGCCTGCGGGCCGGTCTCCCTCTGCCCTGGCGGCTGGCGGTGCGCTCCCGGCTTCCCTGGGGGAGGGGGCGGTCAGCGCGGTCGAGACGTGGACCCTCCCCCTCCCCTCAACCTCGGGAGGCGACTCTGCACCGAGTGCAGTCACCTCCTGGCTAAGCAAGTTGCCTCCCGCCGTTAAGGAGCGCCCACCCCAGGGGCCAGCCCTCCACGGAAAGCAGAGCATCGCCCCTGGGGTTGCCGCGCGGGGGCGCCGGTGAGCCCGGCAGGCAGGGCCGCCCCTGCACCTGGGTCCCGAGGCCCCCGCTCCCGCGAGCCCAGGTGCTGCGAAGCCTCCGGGAGGAGGAGCCGCTGTTTGCTCCACCCCTAGGGCCGCCCGCATCTGGTGCCGCGTAGGTCGCGCGGGCCCTACTCCCTGTGTGTCCGCCTCTGCTCCCCAGAAGCTTCAGGGGCGAGGGCCGAGCGGGAGGACGAAGAGGGTGCTCCCAGCAGGGCTGGGCGAGGCAAACCGGTCAAGCCAGTGTGGCAGAGCCGGCTGGGATGGGGCCCTGGGCGTGGGTGTGAGTCAGCGGCCCCAGGCTGGGGAAACGCTGGGGAGGAGGGCTGGGGAGGAGGCCGTCTGGGGCCTCCTCCCAACAGGAAGCCCCGGGGGACGCCAGCACTCCTCCGGCCCTGTGCACCCCCGCACCAGCCAAGGTCCGTCCCTGGGGATCCAAAGGCCTTTGCTTCTGTGGGCAAGGTAGCTGGACCCCCAAGCGCGAGGCTTCCAGAGCCACGGCCCCACCCCAGGGCAGGATGGACTGTTGCTTACTACCCCATGTCAGTCCACAAAATGCCTTTCAAGGCCCCACCTCTCCAGTCAGCCCCCACTGAGTGCCAGCACCCCCCCCCCCCCCCAAGAGGCCACCACTCTGGGCAAACAGAGCACCCCAGGCAAGCGTGCGCCCCTGTGGGGCCCCTCTGGCCGGCTGGGGGGTGAGGGGGGGTGGTGCCAGGGTGCTCAGTGTGATCTGGAGCCTCCCATGCCAGTTGGGTTGGGACTCTCTGTGGTCAGGCTGGGATGCAGCTCCTGGCCCTGCCCGGCCGGCCGGCCCTGAGCTGGACCAGGGGTGGGGCGGGGACAGGGGTGGGCGGTGGGGGGCGGAGGCACTGTTGCCCGCCCAGGGCAGGACCAGACTCGCTACACACAGCCTGCGATCTGGTTGCCGAGTCACCTCTGCCAGTTTCTCAGTCTCCCTCCCAGTCTGGCCAAAGAGGCCTGTGGCCTGTAAAGTCCTGCGCCCTGTGTCAGCACGTTAGTCAGCCCTCGCGCCTGGGTGAGCCACCACGCCGCCGGAGTCCCTATAAACTCCCCAGCGTGGCCCAGCCCAACGAGCGGGGCCCGTGAGCCCCACAGGCAGAGCCAGGGCCCGGAGCCGCCGCATCATAGACACCAGCCAAGGGGCAGGGCAGGAGCGGAGGACCCACTGTGGCCTCCCGGGGATGGCCCCTGAGCCCGCCTGATCAAGGCTGGCCGGCAATGAGCTAGGGCCCCGGGGCAGCAGACACCGGGTAAAAGGCGCCGGATCGCGGGCCATGTCGGGGAGACGAAGTCGGGCTCGAAGAGCCCGAGCCAGGAGGGCGGGCAAGGCACAGCAGGCCTCGGGTCAGCAGGGCCCTGAGGCCAAGCCCCCGCCCCCTGCCGCAGGGGGCCCTCGGGACGAGGTGGGGGTGGCCCCTGCAGGGCACGTGACCAGCAACAAGCCAGCTGCCCAGGGACACCCCAGGGTGGCCGAGCCAGAGCGGCCACAAGTAGCCGAGCGGCCAGTGCAGGCCACCGCTCTGGGGTCCGAGCTGGTGTTAGTCCCCCCTGCGGACATGGAAGGCTGTGGAGCGGGGGGCCTGGCCCCGGGCCTGGGTCCCGAGCTGCTGAGGCTCCACGAGGTCCAGCTGTGCCTGGCCCAGGAGCAGCTGCTGCTGGAGGACCGGCGGCGGCAGGTGCAGCTGCAGATGCAGCTGTGGCAGGAGGAGCAGCTGTGGAGGGAGCAGCTGTGGCAGGAGGAGCAGCTGTGGAGGGAGCAGCTGTGGCAGGAGGAGCAGCTGTGGAGGGAGCAGCTGCAGGAGCAGCAGGCCTGGGTTCGCGTGGAGGGGCTGGAGCTGGCCATGGCCCTGGAGCAACTCCGGAGCGAGGGCCTTGAGGTGCTGCAGACCCAAGGCCAGGTAAGGGGGTGGAGGGGGGGGTCCGGACGACGCGTGGGGGTGTGGTGACCGTGCAGGCAGCTCACAGGTACCCGCCGAGGGCCAGCCGCCTGCTGCTGTGTGTGCTGCGGCCGGGGTGGCTGCGGGCTAACCGTGGGCCCGTTTTCGTATTTGCAAGTCGAGGCTGGCGCCCACGGCACAGGGCGCTACAAAGACCGTGCGACGGCAAGCCGTCCCGGGACATTTGTTCAGGGAAATTGAGGCAGAGGTGTTCCCACAGAGGACCCGGGTGTCCTGGCCAGCTGGGCCAGGACAGGTGGCTGCAGGAGCCGTCTGGGGCAGTGTCGGGGTACACAGGGTGACCTGCAGCAGGGCCCCGGGGGGACAGTCAGCAGGCAGCGGAAGCGAGGACATGCCTGCCCCCACGCCCCCGACGCGGCCTCCAGGCCTGCTGGCCCTGCCTCCACTGTTTACTGCAGTGTGTGCTCCCAGGGCTTGAGATCACAGAGGCAGCGTGCGGCCCTCAGCCTGTCATCCTCATTCCAGAAAGGCTGCTTCCTCAGACGCCGCTGGGGCTATTTTGGGAAACTAGGGTCTGACCCCGGCTTGACATGAAGAGTAGTCACCACCGTCCCAACCGTCCCGGCAGGTCATGCGCTCTGTGAGCCCTCTGGGGTCCAGGGACTTGGACCGCCCCCCTCCGAGCAGAGGGGCCGCATCTGGGGAACAGGGTGGGTGCTCCATTATCCACCACAGACCCCTGGTGCAGGCTGGGAGCTGGAGGGACCCAGAACCGCCGCCGGGAAGGCCGGCGGCTAAGTAGACAACTCAGACGAACGCCACGACAGAGAAGACGACAGAGAAGACGTGGGACTCAGAGAAGGGAAGGACGAGGGCTGGGGGGGAGGTGCCCCTGCCAACCCCTGGCAGGGCTGAGCCAAGGGCAAGCGGTCACCATTCAGCCTGGAAGTGGCTATGGAGAGGGTGGCCCGAGAGAGCAGCAGCAGGCAGGGAAAAGCAGCGGATGGCCCAGGTGGAACAGAGGGTCACAGCGGACCACACACTTAGCCTGAGGATCCCCAGCGCGAATTGTCACCGAGCTGTCTCAAGCTGTGCTCCTCCACGCACTGCTCCCCCGTCCCAGCCCGGGGGTGCAAGTCTCAGGGTCAGGGCCTGGAACGGACTGCTGAGCCCTGAACCCTCAGTCTGTCATACCCAAGCCCATCTCAGAGGTCCCCTGAAAGCCACTCTCAGGGGGAAGGGTCTTCTCAGACCATCCCCGGTGGCTGCGCAGAGGGTCTCACAAGCCGGTGTCTGAGTGGAGGTGCCCGGAGATCAGACTCACGTACCGGCAATGGCTCTCGGGGCTCCCGGCCTGGCTCCAGGGACGGATGTCTGCCGCTTCCCTGACGGTGCAGCTTTGGCACCCCCCTTCTTGCTGCTCGTTTTCCTGGGGCGGGGGGCGGGGAGGAAAGGTCAAGAAGTGTGTGCTTAGAGTGGCAGCGGCAGCAAGGACCAGCTTTGCGCACGGACTTGGGCCTGTGTGGACATCCCCCCCCCCCCCGCCCCAAACACAGCTTCCCTCCGGCTTCCTGGCCCACCTGCCTGCCCCTGGCCACTGGCTTGTGTGCGCCCAGCAGCTCAGGGGGAGTGCGCGACAAGAACATCCAGCCACAGCTCACCCCCTTGCCCTGTTCACCTGCTGTCTCCACCCCGTGGCTCATCCATCCTTGGTTCCCAGGCCCTGACCGGCACCCCCAGCACTGGGTGTCCGGAACCTACGTCCCTGCTCCAAACCACTGGGCAGCCAGCTGGACAAGCTTCCTCCTAACGCACAGCTCAGTCCTGCTCCGCTAAAGCCTCCGTGCTGCCCCCACTGCCCCCAGCCCCCCCAAAACACTGACACTTCTGTGACCCCAACCCACTCTTGTTTCCGCCCTGGCAGGTGTTCCTGTCAGGGCCTGGAAGCACTGCCTTTCTCCCTAGTCCAGGCGGCTGACCCCAGAGTTTATTCCCCCCCGGGAGGTCTCCTTGGCCCAGGCTGGGTCGGGTCCCCTTGCCTCCCCGCCATGGACAGGTGACTCACTGTAGCACTGCATGGGCCCTGGTGTGACCCCAGGCCCGTGTGCGTGCCACTTGCGCTGCTGGTGTCTCACAGTGTTTGGGGAAGGAATTAGTGAAACTGACCCAGAAAATGGGGTCATGTGGCAAGAGGGACACGGAGGAAGGTGAGCAGAGACCGGCAGGAAGAGGGAGGGGAAGGGGGGGAAGGGGGAAGCCTTGGACAGTTGGACAGGGGACCTGGCTCGGACACGTGGCTGACCACAGGGCAGGGCCTGAGGGGGTGAGGGGACTTCAGTGGAGTCTGATGGGGGACTGGGGCAAAGATCTGCAGTGTTTGGGGGGGGGGGGCACAGAGGGCTGCTTTGAGGGTGTCAGTGCGTGCATCCAGGGGCCCCTGTCCGTGTGGAGTACTAGCAGGTGCCTGCTGGGCGGAGGACTCCTGGTGTTCGTGTGGGGTCCTGAACACGGGCGCGGGTCTGTGAAGGAGGGTCCTGATGCTTGTGGAATTGTGTGCGTGGGGGATCAGCGGAGGCGGGGTCCCCTGTCTGCGTGTGGGGCCGGTGTGTGAGGGCTTCCCAAGTGCACGGGACGTCTCTTACGTGTGTGGGTGGACGTTGGTGTGTGCCTGGGTAACAGGCATGTGGAGGTGGTGTGCATGTAGGGTCCCCTAAGCGTGCAGGGGTCCCCGTGGTGGGTCCCCATTGGTGCGGAGGGAGGTAAGCGTGTGTGGACCCCATGTGCCTGTGGAGGTGGGTGTGTGCAGAGGCCCCTGTGCCTGCAGGGTCCCTACGCGGGTCCCTCTGTTCTTGGGGGGTCCAACCTACATAGGGGGCATTGGCCTGGGAGGGTCTATAGGTGTGGGG